AAACAAATTTAATTTATTTAAAATCTAACTTTGGATTTGGACTATTAGTAAAAAATAATTTTAATATTATTATTGTGGGGTTTTTGTTGTGATTACATTTATCACGTTCCGATAAGATTTGCTCTTTGAGTGTTATATATTGAATTATTTAAATGCTTAATATATTTATAATTCATATTTTAAATTACTATTACACCCATTATTATACCCATATCTCTAATAAAAATTATTATTTATAAATAAGTTTTTTCACTTACTTAATTAGTATTTTAGATAATTTTTAAGGTCATTTTTTGAAGTTTCCAGAGCATTTTTGCACTTTTTTTAGGGTTTTTTTGTATTTTTTTTAGGGCATTTTTGTGTGTTTTTTGGGTCATCAACATCCTAACTCTAGTTATAACTAGATTTAACTCATTTTTCCTTTGGAAATAAATTATATTCATATTGCATACCTATTATTTAAAAAATATACTAGGGAAAAATAATAATTTTAGGTAATAGATAGGTATTTACATTTTTAATGCTTATTTGTGGTTGATTGCAAAGATTTTCTTGCATTACTAAAATAATATATTATTCAAATTATTGATCATACGCAAACTCCTGATGGAGTATCAGCCGAACCAAAACCTAAAATCTATTTTTAAACACCAAATGTAAACAATTTTTCATACACGCGCGTAATGATAATATGAAAATATAAAATATTCATCATTTGAATTTATACCTATTGGCTATTTTATTTTAAGTAATAAGTAATGTAATAATAACAAATTATTTTTGAACAGCGGCCCACCGGGAAAGTTCCCGGTTTCCCGCCGGCCCAGTCCGCCCCTGAACACATTCAAACTTCATTATTAATTTTGATTAATTTTCTTAGGTTTATAGGAAATTTAATTATTTCCTATGAATATTTTCATAAGGGTGAACCTGAATTAGCCCAAATGAAAATATTAGAAATAGGAAAATGGCTTGAAGAATTAGATAAAGGCACTGATGAGTTTTATTTATCTATTAATACTGGTCTTCGACATATCACGAAAGCTACTTTCATTCATATGTTATTTGCTACAAATCTTACAGAAGAATGTAAATGGGTAAGTTATCAAGTATTAATTTGTTTTTGTTTGAATACATAGAGAACATTTGTTTACCTATATAATGTCATATATAACTGTGCTCGAAAAGTGTGAGCATTTAGAAATAATTAGTTATATAAACATTTGGTAAAACTCTCAAATATCTACAATATTTTGATTGATTTGATTTTATAAATTAGTCTTAAGGCTGTTGAAAGTGGGTCATTCTTTTGTTGTTTTTTCATGCATTTAGACCAATAAGCAGAAGAATCTTTATTATTTTTTCCAAATTATGTAGGAAATGGATTTTCGATTTTTTTTTAGTAATTTTGAAAAAAAAAGAAATTCATTTGGTACTATACTAATTAAACAATAGAAAAAATAAAAAATTCATTTTCTACATAACTTAGAAAAAAGAATAAGGAATTCAAGTTAAAGTTTTCAAAATTAAAATTAGGCTTTTGGTACTGAGTGAATTATCCTTCACTTTTTGGGACTTTCATGTTGAAACTGTTTTGAGCTCAAAATATAGTGACTTGTGAGTGTGTGGCTGCGCATGTGTATGTGTACGTTACATATTTCCAAGAATCTTAGCCATAGTCTATCTCTAATTACATAAAGTATTCAGGGAACTTAGGCACCCTCATAATCAGTAACTACTCTGGGACTACACAGTGACTACACACACATTAACATATCACTCACAATGGATATATTAGAATGCCTAAATCCGACCCCTTATAAAAATGATTTATTTTCAACAGCCTTAAAAAACAAAATAACAAAAATGATTACTATACAAAACTGGTTTCGGATCGATATTACAAATTTCCTTTAATCTTTGTTTTGTTATTCCTAAATAATATCAAAATGACTGCACATTTTTTACTTTTGACCTCCTAAAATACTAACTAGCGAAGGGAATAAAAAAGTTTTCAACAATCTAAACATTTTTACTGTTTTGAAAAGTTATAATAAATAATAAAAAAAGATAATTTGTAAATTAAATACATTGATCTGCTTGAATGTAAAACCGTTATTTAATATTTTATAAAGCTTATAATATTATATAATTAGAAATAAAATAATAGTTAATTGTCTACCCACTTCATGTTGAATCGTTTGCTTAGTCATACAATGCAATTCTTTAAACTATTGCTGACTATATTATTGTAATTATTCTACCTACCCCTATTAAAACCATTGATTTTTTAGGTATTCGAAGATATTTTGTCATTTGCAAATATGAATTCCAAGTCAAGAGCGTCTGTACATGCAATACGTGCAGCTGTATTAATTGAATATAGTGAAAATCATGTCTATTTGTCAAAAGCTTGTGACATGGCTAAGAAAGCATGTGATTTAGATCCTAAAACTTCTCATTGGTTTTATATTCATTCACTTGCATTGACAGCTCAAAGACAAATATTGTTGTCACATAAATCGATACCAGCTGGTGATGAAATAAATGCAATTCATCAAGCTATTGTATTGTCTAATGGAAAAAATCCGCTTTTCAACTACCATAGATTGGCTATGGATGTGATTTTTATAAATAAAACAAAACTACCTGAAGACCAAAAAATTGCAGATGTGATCAAGTATTTAAAACTAAGATTATACATTATTAATCTTTTATCTATGAAAATACTTTTCCAATATCATTCTCAATTGATACATTAAAGTGTATAGTGTAGAAAGTGTAGTTGTCAATTTACTTCATGAAAAATAAATATAATGAATTATTTATGGGAATATTTGGTGACTTTTAAAAGTGAAGTCACCATAAATACAATTTCAAATCAAGCATAGGATATAATTTGTAAATATTTGTGAAAACACAATTTTAATTTGGTAATTCATTTTTTTTTTTGTAGAACCATTATGAACATAGGACCAGAGGACCCTCATTTGGTAATCAAGTGTGCTAAAACATTGATGACTCTTCCAACTATGGTTAGAGATTTTAATTTGGGAATACAATATTTGAAAAAAGCATTTCAAATGTCACAAAATGATGTGACTGTTTTAAAAGCTATCGCAAAAGCAGTTGAAGCATATTATAATGCAGAAATTGTAATATATAATATTTAGAAAAACCATATTTATATCATAGTTAGTTTACATATATATAATGTATATAAATTTACTTAAATTTTAGTGTCATAAAATGAATCCTGAGGCAACTGAAATTATACAACTAGAAACTGAATTAAGACTCATAGTGAAAAGACAAAGAAATGGTGAAGATCCTGCTCCTTACTTGATTGATTTGGTTTCTAAATATAATGGATTGAATCAATCAAAAATTTTATCTCAGTTATGTTCGTATACATTATTATTTACAAGCCAATTAAGATATGGCATTGAGCAATTTAATAAGTTAATTGAACAACCAGAAATCGTCAATAATGATATAATTGTTGTAAGTTTTTTTAATTAATGTATACAAATATTTAACTTAAAATTTCAGACTTGTTTTGAACACTGGTTTTTTTTAACATTTAACATTATTCTTTATTATGTAACATGCTTTTGAGTCATATAATTGTAATTCTTTCAGCATCACGTTTCATCATTTGGTTCGAAGAAATTTAATTTATCAGAACTGATTTGTAATGAAATCAGATTGGCTACAAATGCTGGTGGTGCCTCTTCTGATTTGTTTTATTACTATGAAATACTATCAAAAATCATGAAAACATGTAATTTAAAGATTAAAGATATTGACCCATTCATGAAAGCCAATCTAATCATTAATTCATCTGCTAAATCAACACTTTCAAATAAAACAGTTCAAAGTGTGACTAAATTGGTAGACAATAGTGACGAAGATGTAAATTTTAATAAAAATATACCCAAACACAAGAAAAAAGGAAATCTTAAGGCAAAGCAGTTGGAAAAAACTAAATTTGGCAAGGTAGAAAAAACACATGGGAAAAAATGGAGACATTTTTGACGCACTTACTGTCAAAAACATATATTGGACTCAAACAAATGCAACAGTTTCTGTTTAGTAGTATAATAATCTTTTACAGTATAACAGTTAACTACAAATAATTTTATTTTTTTAACATAACTTAAATTGAATATACCTAATGTTTCTTTTGGTGATATTAATAGATATTAATTAAACCACTAGTAAGTTTATTTTTTTGTAAAATACGTAAGATTTGTTTAATTATTCCTTTGAAAAAAGTTATAATTTTACTGATTTATTATTTGAAGCTGTTTTATTTTTATTTTTATTTTAGTTTTATAAATGAAAATTTGCGAGTGTAAAAAGGTTTTACTTCTGATAAAAATTTTCAAATATTATAAAAATTGTTACAAAATATTGATAAGTATTATTTTGTTCAGCAAAATACTAAATACACAGTGTATTGTTTCAAAATTAAATAATACATAATAGAAACAACTAAACAAATAATTTGCAATATTCAGATAATTTATTTTACATTTAATTTGTAACCTAAATATATTATTTATCTTTGTAAATACCTACCTAACATGTGTCCTGTAGAAACTCCTGGTGCCTTATATTTAAAAAAATAAATCATTTATTTAGTTTTTCATCCAAATTAATTCTCTTCCTAGTCTTCCTATAAAAGTAACTATACATCTATAGTCATATTTATTCAAACCAATGTTTAAGTATATTATAATTTCTACTATATGTTTTTTTTATTCATGTATCATAAGATATTTGTTTATGAATAAAAACCTTAAAGATGCAACTCAAGGTTCCCCAAAAGTCAGTTCAACAATTTTCAATTGTTGAATTAGTCTTAATTTGTTTTAACTGTTCAAAGTTAAACTTTTTAATAAAATTTGTCTAACTACAAAAATGTGTAAAATATTTTGTAGTAAAAAAGCATACAACTTTAACACATAATATAACTATATAAGACATGAAAAATTAATTCAAGACTACTCATAACTGATAAGTATATTTTAGTAGAATTTAAAGTAAAAGTTTAGAGTAAGCCACATACCTACCTTTTTTTTACGAGCGACTGAAGTTTTTATTTTGACAATGTTGGATATTCAAACATATATTATAATTTACAACAATTTATCTTTACACAATTTTTAATATTAAACAAAATATGGTAGCATATTTTATATATTGTTTACCTATACTTCAGGGGAAAATGTTTAACATGCATATGTAATATGTATCCTATTATTGGATATAAATAATTATGAATGTTTCAAGTATCTAGGTACCATTAATATTATTTGAATCCGCTGCCTCTGAAGACTGCAACACATCAATAAATGAGAACATAGGTGGCTATTAAAATTAAATATACGTGGGTATATTATAAGTCTCGGAGGAACAGCTGGTTCCAAACACAATGATCAGTTTTTAGATTCTGAGCAGAGTGTCAGAGTGATGAATGTATTGATTTTATAATTATGTCTGCCATCACGGTTTGTGGCAGTAAAGTGCTTCAATTTTCTCTAACAGCCTTTTTTTCTGGTAGGAAAAAAATTCTAGTTGGTGCATTCAGGAGGTCAAAATTTAAAATTCTCAATGGTTTTCAGAAGCGACGTGAAAAACAAACAAAAAATTAAGAAAATACGGGCATTTTTATGCGAAACTAGTTTTCAACATAATCAATTTTGTTTAGGTTAGGTACCTATTTATGTAACTCTAAAAAAATTGACTATAGATACATGAATTTATCACTGAATGTTTATTTTGCGTTTTCTATACACCATTTATAATTTTCAAAATATTTTGAGTCGTGTTGAATTATTTAATGGCATACGACATTTTCGATTATTACTTGTTTTTTTTAGATAAAAAATTGTTTGGCTCTGTCAAAAAATTTGAAAATGTAAAACAAGGTTCATCGTAAGTTGTTAGTGGAAATTAAAAAAAAAGTTGAGCATCAACCCACAATAATTTTTTATGAGCGTTTGAATTTAACATTTTGACAACATTTGTAAAAACTAGGAAATTCACAAATTATTTTGAGTTAGAAGTTAATAAAAATGTTTTTTTATATCTAAGATTTTGAATGCAAAATTCCTTATAAATATTTGTCTACCTTAACCAAAAGAAAAAATATCTACCGGCGAGTCAAACTAAATTTTTATAAGCGTTTGAAGTTGACATTTTTTACATCATTAGAATTCAAACCATTTCTCATATAGCGATTTACTTATTTTGTTATATTTCAAACACGAATAATTGCAGATAGGTTATTGAAATGTACACCATATAATGTTTATAATATTTGTTACGCTCTCTCGTTAGCAGTGGTGTATTGGTAAATAATAAATATATTTATGGGTATACGCACTAATAAAATTTGTATGTAGGTAGGTACTCTAAAAATATTTTTTATCGCTACGCTCGGAACAACTAACTTCAGTTTTTAAATCTTTTTATTATCAAATATTTCATTTTGGTAAAAGAAACCTTAACTTACAATATGTGTTACCTATATATTTACTATACATAATTATTAATTATATTACCTATAGGTACAGTATACGGGCATACGGCTATACTGAATATAGTGAATAAAATAATATTATACATAATATATTACCTATTAACCTATATTGGCTATTACTTATATAGTAATAACTAATAGTTATATTATATGTTTTTTTCATTAAAATGTATAATAGATAACATTATATCTACTACATTATTCTTATTAGAATTTAGTAAACCACATGATACATTGATACCAAATAGAATTTAACTGAGCATAACATATATATATATATATATATATATAAAATAAAATAAATAATTTTGGGGGTCGTGGATTAAAAAAGGTTGTGCACAACGACTGTTGTGTGGCATGGTTCATTGCTGTAGCCTGTAATGAGCCGATTGAAGGACCTTGAACTGTACTTGCAGTTGCAACTTTGCAAGTGAGAAACGCGAGCGATGGACATTGGACGTGCACACTGAATGACCGATAAACCCAGACTGAAATATAATATTGCATATATTATATTCTGTGAAAATGCAATATTACAACCATTATTTTAAATTATTTTTTACTACGTATTATTTTTATAGATAATATTTGGAATTTCAGATTATTAATTTTTTATAATATTAATTTGTACAAGATAGACTATGATATTATATCAAAATTTAACACCATCCGCATTACAGTGACCCACTTGTAACCTACTGTACAGTGTACAGCTGAGCGACATCCACTCAACCGTTTTTTATTGCACCGTTTTATTGTCGTAATAATTTTTATTGAATGTGCTTGTGAGTTTATAATATGAAGATTAAACAACGCGTTATCGCATGCCGCAACGTCGGCTACCGCCGTGATTTTGTCTTGTAGTTTGTACCGTAAGTTGTCTCGGCAATACCGATTTGCAGAAATTCTTTTTTTAATTTTTTTTGTGTGTACGAATAGCCACATCTTTATGCGATTATATCTATTTGTGTTATATTCATGTTTTATGCTCACTAATCGCCTATAATGTGTAATTTATATTAGCTTTATCGTTTAGATTCCGTTCTATCAGCCGTGTGTACTAATCGCCGCGGAATATGTATTTTAGTGATTATCATTTTATCTTGTGTGCTCCAATCGCTACCTTGGAACCGTTGTTATTGTATTTTTGCTGCTATCAATATTGAATTAAAGGTGTAGCGGTTGGCCATCAGAGGCTCAGAGCACCGACGTACTGTGAGTTTTTATTTATTATTATTTATTATTATTTGTTGAGCTAGAACGACTATATTATTATAATATTATTTTGTATATTTTGTACATTTTGATTACTTTAAATCACTTATTAATTATTATACAACAACACAATCGCCCAAACCCGTATATTACCATTTTTTATTAGTTTTAATTGCAAACATACCTACAATCATACACATTTATACACAAATACACATTCACTTCACACATTCACACCTATTACACAACGTAGCACTACGTAGCTACTAGCTTGACAGTATTTGTCCGGCAATCCCGATCAATGGCGTACCAATAAGGTGGAATGACGGGCAAGTACCACGGGGGCACGGGCCCAGGGCCCCAGAAGACCGGGGAGTGCCCTTCAAAAAATTTTAAACGGAAAAAAAGTCCGAGAAAAAATTATTTAAATATAAATTAGTTATTAAATTAAAATAAAATTAGTTCCTAAAAAAATATATTATATATATTTTATTAAGTTTATTTTTTTTTCAAATAATATGTTTTAAAAACGTTGTATGTCTACTACATGGAGACAGGTTTATACACAATGATATAACATTTAAAAGGAAAGAAAATACTTTGGAACACCGTCTTCAAATATTATGTCAACGATATGCAGATAACGAACCAGTCGAATTGATATTACAAAATATATCACACTGTTTACGAAAAAGGAGTAGGGAGTAGTATCGATAATGGTCTGGTTATAATAATGATAAATAATAAAAAAATTTTTGATGATAATTTATCATTGATAAATAATGCATAATTAATAATTATGTATTCTAATTTAAAAAATAGTATTATTTTTAAATGATTTTTTCTGGGAATTTTTTTCCGTTTATTCGGACTTTTTTTCCCGGATTTTTTTTCCTAATATTTCAAAAAGTGTGGTGGTTTAAAAAAAAAAACAGATAACCGTTACACAGAATTTTTAGTTATTAATAAAACTAAGTTCTATAGTAAAATTAAATCACTTTAAAGTAAAATAAATGAGGTCCGTTACATTAGCACCACCATATTTGAAAATCCGAAATAAAATTATGCCAACGATTGTTATTCCATTTGTACACATTTGTAATCCTAATATAAACATTTATAAACCAACCCAAATGCCCCAAAAAATCACATTTCCGCGGTGGTGCTAATGTAACGTTACACCAGCACCACACTTTTTGTACAGTCAAGTTATCAGCCCCGAAATGGTACCAACGATTGTTATTCCATTTGTACACATTTGTAATCCTAATATAAACATTTGTACACTAACACAAATGCCCCAAGATTAAGTTTAAAACAGCAAAGTTTACACATCATGAGAAAAAAAATTTCTTCATTATAAAAAAAATTATATATATTCTGTTACTATATTTAAATAGCTTAATATCATTATAATAATATGTACTAGGTATCGACTTTGAAGTAGTTATAATAATCGTTGAAGCATGTTGAATGCATTCAGTATTACAGTCCCGAAACGTATTCTGAGTGCAAGGACTGGACGGTGTCACTAGTTCCCGAATGCGGGAAGGGTTACCATCCGGGTTTTGATTTACAAATTATTGCCACACATACTTGTTACCCACACGTGCTCTAATCCAACCGTACCTCCTCTTACAAATATCTAATGAGCAATGGCCAATGGCCATTGTTTCCTGGCTTAAAGATCAATATAGGACCTTGATATTAATTGCATTTGGTTGGATGATTACAATACTTAAATTTACTAAGTTAGTTTTTATTTAAAATTTATATATATTACATTTTATCTGGAGAAGTAAAAAAAATACTGAGATGGTGTTTGTGTAATGCTTATGCAAGGCCGTATCCCGAAATTTTTTTCGGGGGTGTCTAAAACATGTATATTGTAATTTTATTGCATTTAGGTTTTGATATTTGGTTAAAAATAAGACATTAAACAAATTTCGGGCGGTGGTGGTGGCCAGACCCCTTTGACCCCCTCCTCAGATACGTCTTTGCCCACGAGAGTTCATCCGTAATCCATGCATTAATTACCGACAGTTGCGAATGATGCTTGCCATAGTTTCATCCTTAGATCATATTCATATATTATATGGTATATTATACTATATGATCTAAGGTTACGGCCTTACTACTCAACGGCATGTATACAGGGTTAAAAATAAACTCATACCAAATACATTGCGTTGTCTAGTTGGTTATTTTGTCACATACGTTATATTATTAACGGTATTTTTTGTTATAAATAAAATAGATATGCAAAAATATTCGTCAAAAATACTTTATAACGAAAATGCTAGCTCAAAAACAAATAGTGAAATTGCTTTGGCTTCTGCCTCTACGAATTTAAGAATTTTGTTTTTGAAGAGGGACTGATGCGCAGAGACTGACGAATTTTTACAGTAGTTATCTGTAGGCTGGAGTACATACATGTTTTTGCTGTCGAAAACATTGAAGTACGTGGGGTGGTACGATAAGTTTGCATGTCCATTTTTCATTTTTTTTTGTCACAATAAATAAGTTCCCAGCTATGTAGAAAAACATCGGGATGATAACGATCTACCTACAATGTTAGGTCTTATGTCTTGTAACATTATATTATAATATAACTATTTATATATAAACGAACGTGTTTAGACTCACTAACTGATCAACAATAGCACAGCTAAAACTACAAAACCGATTAATATGAGAATTTGATTGAATGTAGTTACTCATTAGTCATTACTGTGTCTATTCAGATTTTCAGAAACTCACATTTTAATTACATACACACTGATTCGAATGTTCAATACGCGACATGACCTGCGTCAGTCGTCGTCGGGATAGTCTGTGCGTTTTTGTTATTTTATTTCACATTAGATATTTACTATTTGGATATTTACGATGGTGGGTTATTTTGATTGTATTTTACTCGAGCCTCGACAGTTGTGGCCTTCCCGGGCAAAGTCGGATTATATGGCTATCTATAAATATATATAATATATATATTAATATTCATTATTAGCTAAATATAGATCAAAAATTGCTACCAATATGTTTATTCTAAACGCTTATTGCTTATCTTTAAATGGACTGAAGAGGTCTCTTTATTTTAGCGTCACATCTTGTACTGCAAGGT